TTTGGATAACCAGTTGCTGTGCTTTTCACTGGGAAGACAGACTATTTCTCGTTCTCAGCATTCCTTAGTTGCCTGTAGTTCTTTGTGTAGAACTGAGGGCTCGTGGACACATCCCCCCCCCCCCCCCTGCTTTATTCTGTTGTTTTTCTTCAGCTCATGTTTCGGCAGTTGTTGAGATTTTACGAATGTAGCTTCTGACATTACTAGGAGACACAATCTCACAACAAACTCTCGGTCCTGTGGCTCTTAGAATCTTTCACCTCCCTCTTTCTTCAGGGTTTCCTGAGCCTTAGTGTGGGAGTGCCCTGTAGATGTACGTAGCCAACTCAGCATTTTGGCTGATTGCCTCTGTCTCTTGCAAAGCTAAGTTTCCTAGATGATGGGTTAGAACTACACTTACTGTGAGTATGTTTAGGACATGATTAGGGATTATGCTGGTTTAGTACAGTAGTGTTGCAAGTTGTCCTCCATGATCCATGACTTCACTAGCCCTAAGTACTTGGCTAGGTTTTCAATACCAGACATGATCACACTTATTGAATGGGTCTTAAGTCCAATCAAGAGCTGTTTGTTACCACCAACGCATATGTGCCCCTGCTGTGCCTTTAGGAATATCATGCCATGCTGGTTCCTGGTGTGGTTCATAGGTATCACAGCCTGGTGTTGAGGGGTTTTTTTTGATGAGGTGGTTTTTGGTGTTATAAGCATTGTCAGCTCAGATAAGAAAATTACATACTATATTTATATACAGGTTTATATGTATTATAGTTTTTGTTGTGGGGTTTTTTGGGTGTTTTTTATTTTTTATTTATTTTTGGTTTTTTGAGACAGGGTTTCTCTTTTTTGGAGGCTGTCCTGGAACTCGCTCTGTAGACCAGGCTAGCCTCAAACTCATAGAGATCCGCCTCCCAAGTGCTGGGATTAAAGGTGTGCACCACCAACGCCTGGCTTGTATTATAGTTTTTAAAAGAAATAGGTAATAATATTCCTTATGACTTTTTCATCCCTTTTTTTCTCTCCCCTTTTCTCGTCTTCTTAGATGACTTGTACTCCTGTTGCTCCCACCCCCACCCCCAGCAGTGGTCCTTTTTTACTTTCCTGCTTTTTATCATCACTCCAGGATATGTACTCACATCTGAAGACTGGAGCTAAGAGCCTGAAGAGGGAGGGGGAGGGGAGAGGTTAAGTTTTTGAGAATTTTCTATACTCTTGGTTTTTTTGAGACAGGGTTCCTCCGTGTAGCTTTGGAGGCTGTCCTGGCACTCTTTGCTCTGTAGACCAGGCTGGCTTCAAACTCACAGAGATCCTTCTGCCTCTGCCTCCTGAGTGCTAGGATTAAAGGCGTGCACCACCAACGCCTGGCTTCCATACTCATTTTTACAGCATACTTTATAGGACTGTTACATATCTTTTTTAAAATAATTTATTTTATTTCACGTGCATTGGTGTTTTACCTGCATGTATGTCTGTGTGAGGGTGTCAGGTCCCCTGGAACTGGAGTTACAGACAGATGTGAGCTGCCATGTGGGTGCTGGATATTGAACCCAGGTCCTCTGGAAGAGCAGTCAGTGCTCATAACTGCTGAGCCATCTCTGCAGCCCCCTTTGCTACATATCTTGAAAGGGTGACTGTATTTAATGTGTACATTGGTATTGCTACCTATTTTCAGAAGGTACTTGAAGCAAGATAATCAAATCTGGATAAGAGATCTATTGCCATTTGGTCATGGAAGATTCTGGATTTGTACCCCTCATTATTCTACCAATATACCATTGCTTTTCAAAGTATAAGGAAGGATCTTTGGGGGCAAGACCCTGAAGATAAGTTGTTTTCTGGTCAGGACATTTTTGTCATAGGAAGACATTTTCTTTATTGTGCTTATTTCAAGCATACACAGTAGTTTTCAAAGTGCTAGATGAAATAGAATGTTTGAGCTAGTTGGATGGTGAGACAGTGCCTAACTAGGTCTCTGCTGTTGAGACATTAAGGGGAATCTGTAGGGTGTAAAATGGTGCCCCACCGACCCTTCCTCCCTCCCTTTCAATGATTTATTTGCATTGTTGTTTGCCTACATGTGCATCTATGAAGGGTGTTGAATTCCCTGGAACAGGAGTTACAGACAATTGTGAACTGCTATGTGGGTGCTGGGAATTAAACCCGGGTCCTCTGGAAGAGCAGTCAATGCTCTTAAACCACTGAGCCATCTCTACAGCCCCTTAAGATTTTCAGTAAAATATTTTTATTAACATGTACGTTGGTCAAGCACAGTCTTTTTATAAAAACAAGTATGTAAGGCCACGCGGTGGTGGTGCATGACTCTGTGAGTTCAACGCCAGCCCGTTCTACAGAGCAAGTTCCAGGACAGCCAAGGCTACATAGGTAAACCCTGTCTCGTAAAACAAAAGACAAAAACAAATATGTAAGAATTTTGCTAATTCATAACATGGAAAATATTGCAAATAAAACCTAGAGAAGCACAAAAACAGTGGGACCCAGAGAACCACCAGTAAATCACAGAACTAGAATAACCTTCACAGATTTTCATGTTGTCCTTGCAGGCCACGCCAATTCTCTATCTGTGCAGTTCAAAGTGAGCCCCATGATATGCCAGTCCCCTACAGGAGCAGAACATTTGTGTCCCATATTAGCTTTTCAGAGTGAACCCTAAATCGTTTCCTTCATTTTTAGGCCGGTATCTCTTCTTAAATGCAATTGCAAACCAGCTGCGGTACCCAAACAGCCACACTCACTACTTCAGCTGCACCATGCTGTACCTTTTTGCTGAGGCGAACACTGAGGCAATCCAGGAACAGATCACAAGGTGAGAGATTATTGTCAAGATGCCTTAAAAGGGCCCTGTCTCCCCATCCTCTGAATGGAGCTCTATGTATTCCCAGTTTAGCTATCTTTTCCTAAACCATGTCTGTGGAATTACATCCAAAACAAGTTTATATTGACAGTAGTTTGGCTACAGTAGTTTGCTTTGCAATGCTGGAGACTAGTCTACTGTAAAAGCAACATACTGGTTTCTTGGTGGTGGCAATGGCAACAACGTTTGTATCCAGAATCTTGAATAATGCAGACTTCCTTTGTATGTACTTCCCTTTAAGGCTTTAAGAAGTAGAAACAGTAGGAGCATACTGTCTTCTGTAATTATGTCTAAAGCTGCAACAAAGGCTTCAGTCCTTTATCTTTGCCCCCAGGAAAAAAAGTTGAGAGCACAGCATTGCAACTGGCAGGCAGGTCACAGTACATGAATATTTAAGCCAGTACTTGCAGCCATTCATTGGCATATGCTATAGTATTGTTAAAAATTCTAAGTGGATTAATGGGGAAAGAGACAATGGAGGTTATAGTTGTGAATTTGCTTATGTATTAACTAATGCTTCTACCCCCTTTTAGGGTTCTCTTGGAACGGTTGATTGTAAATAGGCCGCATCCTTGGGGTCTTCTTATCACCTTCATTGAGCTGATTAAAAACCCCGCATTTAAGTTCTGGAACCATGAGTTTGTACACTGTGCCCCAGAGATTGAAAAGTGAGTTAAAATGATTTAAGTACCTAGCAGGGAAACAAAAAAGACTGCTTCTAATTTGGGTCTTTGAGTTAAAAATACAGCTGATGCACATTAAGATAGCCTTAGGCCTACATTCTGTGAAGTAAATTTGGACTTGTCTCCCTTTGCAGGTTATTCCAGTCTGTTGCACAGTGCTGCATGGGACAGAAGCAGGCCCAGCAAGTGATGGAAGGGACCGGTGCCAGTTAGATGAACTGTATACCCCTTGCCAGAGGCCTCAGCCTTGGTCCCGGTGGACCAAGTTCATAAACTGAAGGAAGAATCCTTTTCAGCTCCTCTTGACTTTCCCAGCCCTTTGGTTCTCGGGTGTGTGCCCCATCAACTGGTGGGGCTGGCCTCCTGTCTGTGGGGAAGTTCCAAAGTTTAAATGCATTTTTTTTTTTGACTCTTGGCCAAAATTTAGAAGATGCTGTGAATATCATTTTGAACTTGTGTAAATATATGAAAGAGAAAACTTTTGTCTGAACTTGAGTTTGTGCAAAGTATCTATAAAGTACACAAACTTAGTACCTTGCAGGGGCAGCAGTGGTGGCACATTCTTGAGCATAGCGCGTGTCTTCTGACATTTGACACTCCAAAGAACAGCAAAACATTCAGTTCATCCAACACTTTAAAAAATGTAGCCTGAGAACACAGGAAGGCCCACAGTTGATCCATGGTTTGCTTGTCTTGTCTTTCTCCAAAGCTGGCGGCAGGGAAAGCAGCTGAACCTGCTTCTTGGTTCTAAGGGAGGACATCACCTGAAGAGGAAACCATCTCTGGTCAGGGGCTCCCTATCAAAAGGACCAATAAGTTGTTTTTTTTGTACAAAACGTTTAGAGAGCAGCCAGGTCCGTGTTTTGTTTTGTAGACTTTGTGGTTCCTGGGCCCTCGCTCAGCTGTCTTGTATGTCTGAAGACAGTAAGCATTACAAGTTAGCATAGTAGGAGTCCCTGTCCTTTCTCAGCAGCAGTCCATGCTGACGAGGAAGAAAGGGATAACCCAGTCTCCAGGGAAATAATCACTTCTTACTGGATGACCACGGTTTCCTATTATTAAAAGAGGTTTTTGAAGTCAAGGTTCTATGTAATCCATCTCCTATTTCAGCTTCCTGAAGGCTGGGATTACTGGTATACTATAACCATGCCAAGCAAGGAAATTTTTGTGAACCTTTGTTATTTCAAAAGGAGGAAGCTGTTGTAGCAAGAAAATCTGTGCAGTTAAACTGAATCAGAAAAACTCTTGAGGTGTTTTTTGGTATAAATAGGTAATATTTGAAACAATTCCATTTATAATCTACATTGCCAAATGAAACTTGGATGCCCTTCACGTCCTTGAAAGGTGAGTTGTGACACGGAGAACCCGCTTTAGACTACTGATCAGACTAAAGGTGCAGCAAAGCTACCTGTTACGCTCCAGTTCTCTACAGGAAATGAACTTCAAAGTCCAGCTCAATCCATATTTATTAAATTCTACTAAAAACCCGAAGACATTAGTAAGAATAGAATGTGCTTAACAATTGACAGTGATCCCTAAATCTCAATTCTAAAGTCAACATGTAACTCTTGCCTTGGATTAATCCTAGCTTACCTTTAGCTACTTTTCCTTTGATTAACTGCCCTATAGCAAAAGACCCAAAGCAACAAAATGCAAGCTTAAAAGGTTCTCACTGCTGGTCATTCAGGGAACCTGCTAACTTGTGAGTTCCAACAACTGATGTAAAATCATCTTCTGACCATAGCGGACTTGTAAGGCTTGCTGTTCCCGCCAGCTGAGCTTGGCGTAGACCTCCTTATTACTAAGTAAATCTTGCTCAGTTTTTAAGTCGGTGGCATAGGTCTTAAGGGTCAGTAGAACACTGGCTCGAAGAAGCCGTTTCCACGATGCTTGGAGCTTGGGGATATTTGTGATCGTCAGACTGTCCTCTTCTCTTTCTTCCTCTCTCTGTCCAGCCTGTTCTTTATAGTTTCTGAATTCCTCAGCAGGCATACACAGTACCTAGAAGGAACATGGAGCTCTTCAGTTAGGATGCACTTCAGGATAAATACACCTGTAGGAAAATTGAGTCCCCTTTGTCTTTAGTTTGCCTTTATTCAGAATGCCAGCACCCCATACTGCTAGCCCTGTACCTTGAGTGTGGTGGCTAGCTCCTCTTGAGTCAACACCTCCTCGTGACCAATCACAAAGGCTCCTTCTTCCCCTACCATGTCCAGCTTGCACAGGAAATCCCAGCGTTCCCACAAGAGCAGCTTTTCCACTTCATCCTTCGTTCCTGTGAAGTAATGGATAAAAATGAGCAGACATCGACTCCAGCAAGTCAAGTGCTGTAGTCAGGTATAATGGAACCTGGATGGGTAGACGCACCCTGCAGTGCAGCATCTCGGACTGTCACCATCTGAATGTCAGCTGTGTCATCTGTGTTGTCAGGATAGGGCTCAGCAAAACCATACATATGGATCAGTTGCCAATTAGCCATTTGCCCATATGTGTTGAAAATCTCGTGACCTTTGGGAATGGGCTGAGTAGCTACCATCCGGAGATAATCCTGGGATAAAAGTAAAAAGCTAGGGCCACATCTTAGCTCCCACCAACCTATGAAGATTCTACTTCCCTCTTAGAAGAGCCTATTAGACTCTGGGCTGAGTCTACATACCACTGTCTAAACCCCATATTATAGAAGGGGGAAGCCAACTAAGCCCAAAGTCAGCTTAGTGTGTCAGGTGCATCTATGCCTAGTTACCTGCCCTTAAAAGTCACTACCTTTAAAACTGTTAAGGTCAGGCCCGGTGATGCACACCCAGGACCGTCAGGGCTATGTGGTTAAAAAGTAAGTTAAATTTTGTGCCAAAAGGGAAGTAGGAATAAGTGAAAAGTCACATCTGCTGACCTGGGGACAAGGTCTTAATGTTTAAAGTAAAAATGGCTGGAACCTTCAATACTGCCTCAGCCTCCTAAGACTGTAGGTGTAAGCCACCAGGCCCAGATAATTGCTAATTTTTAATCACACACGTGTGTCTTACAATTTTCCATGCAGAATCAACACTAAAGTGGGGTCTTACTATGTATACCTCTGGTCCATGGACACGCCACCTCTTGAAAAGTACTTACAGTGCTGTTCCATGGCAGAGCAGGCAGGTTTTTTGGTGGCCTTAAGGTGTGTCCACACATCTTACTGTAACTTCATACCAAAAGTACACAGGAGAGTAGCTAATCTCACCCACTCATTTTCATGTTAAGTAGGAAAATGGAGCCCAATGACTTGACTTCATAATGCAGATAACCAGGCATAGGGAGGGTTCACTCACTGCAGAGTACTCAAGATTGGCATTGTGATTGGCTATGTGGTTCAGTAGGTCTGCAGCAGGCACCATCAAGGGGGAGTTGGGCTCCTTTTCATCATCCTCTTCCTCCAGTGGTTCCTGAAAGCTGCCGCGGAGGTTTGGAGTTCAAGGCTCTTTCACACCTTACCCCTCAACAACGTCCTAAAGATGTGGGTGTGTCCTACAGGCTTTTCTCACTGACCTATAAGCCATCACAAGGGCCACGAGCTGACGATAGAGTTCCAGAGAGCGAACAGTGGGGCTGAAGAGATCCGAGTGAGCCTCCATGAAGGGCAGGACGATGGAATGGTATTCGCTACTAATGTTCACCAAATCCTTCTCCACGGCCTCCGGGACACCTGTACCCTTGAGGAGGCGCCGCCGCTCCTCCTCTGGCCTGCAAGGATAATCCGTCCAGGGCACTTAACAGCCTGCCGCTCTGATGGAGCAGATACCCAGTCCCCTGAGCAGTCCCCTGAGCAAAGTGCTTGAAACAGGTTCTCCCCAGCCCTTCCTTCCCTTGGCTCTCACCAAAACATGGGATGCTCCAAACGCCCCAGCTCTGGCCAGAGCGCGAAGTAGGGGCTCCAGGGTGAGGCTGGGGCCTGCAGCTCGTGGAGCAGCGCCAGCAGCAGCGGCACCCACCCGGACAGGCTCTGCAGCGCGCCTCGTTCTAAGGAAGACACCCGGTGAACGCCCGCCCAGGCGCCACACGGCCTCCGGCCTCGCAGCCAGCCCTCCGCCCCCTACCCACCTCGCTCCAGCAGGCCGCGGATGGAGCAGGTGTGCGGGGACAGCAGCGCCGAGCGCGGCACCGCGAACAGCAGCTCCCCCGGCTGCACGCTCTCCCGCGCCACCATGCCGTAGCCGGCCACCGTGCCCTGCCGGCTCACCGCCACCTTGGGGCTCAGCTCCAGCCCCACTCCCGCGCACCAGCGCAGGAAGCCGGCTACCGCGTCGCCGTCGGACTCGCCACCGCTGGGCCAAGCCGCCAGCGGGGAGAAGCAAGTGACGCGGCCGCGCCCCGGACCCGGGGGCGACCGGGGGGCGCCGGCAGCTGTCAAGACCGGGCAGGGCGAGGTGAGGGGCGAACCGCCACTCGCCCGCGCACGCTTGGCCGGAGCCGCCATGCCGGGAGGCGCCGCGTCCTCCCTGCGCTTCCGGCGTCGCTGGACGCGAGCGGACGGGGCGGAGCTCGGGTCCCGGCACCGCGCTACGGCCTCCCGCAGCGGCGCGTCTCCGGCACGACCCCCAGCGGGTTGAGACCTCCCTTGCGCATCCGTCCGCAAAAACACACTGGCGAGGTCTGTGCGGCCACCATCCTAGCTCTGGGCGCGTCCCCGAGAGCAGGGTGCAGGAACAAAATCCGGTTTCTTCCTGGAGTCCTGGCTGCTGTGCGGTGACCGGCCATTGTTAGCGATAACCATCTATTCCACCTAATTTCCTCAGTCTTCATTTTCTGTATAGATATGATAGGCTCTTTCGTTTTTTTTTTTTTATACGTTGGAAGGAAGGAGTCGGTATCAGTGAATGAATGATGGCACAAATGATTGAACGTGAAAGAGTTGGCAGTATAATTCTAATACTTGGGAGGCTGAGACAGGAGTATTACTGGGAGTTCCTGTCCAGCCTAGGCTAGAGTGAAACTGTCTCAAAGCAACAAAAACCAAACAAGAAAGTGGTGTGCCCTTGCTTTGAAGAGGTCTTACTGGTTAAGCTATTTCCTCCTCTTTGACACTGAGGACTAGCATCAGTACCGGTAAATCATGTCTCAATCAGGGTATATGGCCTCATGGTAGACCCACACTGGTTCAATCCCCATCACCTCAAAAGGAAAAACAAAAAGCTAGGCAAGGTGGCCTATATACCCCTAACACCCAGGAAGCTGAAGCAGGGTTTCAATTCGTGTTCAAGACCAGCCTGGGCTACTGGGCTCCAGCATGAGACCATGCAACCCTCACTCCCCCCAAAATGTATCAGGCACTGAAGGTATAAAGACAGACAGAAGCAATTGCTACCCCCCACCCATCTGAGCCCAAGACAGCCGTTTCAGCCTCCCGTGTGACAGGAAACACGACACACTCATATGCTTCATTTCTTTATTAGTTTTTCTGCACAGTTTCTGTATCAACAAGGATTTTTGTTTTACATTTTGTCATCTCAAAATCTCTTATCAGCCACCAGAATACACAAAATTAGGCTCTTTGTACAGAGAGTAAAGTAATGAACTCCATTAAAAGTTCATCTTGACAACCACCGATTGGGAAAACACACAGGAGGATCTGATATACACATGTATTTATATATAATGTATAGGTATTTATAGATATCTTAAGAACACAGCAAAAAGATGTCCAATACTGGAAGTGCTATCTACAGTAAGGGATTAATTCTACCAGCTTTAAACAGTATTCAGTATTCACGGAAGCACGAGTGAACAGAACTGGGCATAGCATACGCTCCACCGGACTTGAGAGCAGTCTAGAAATGGCTTACTGTTACAGAAGAGGGTGGCATGTGCCACACATACATGGATGTAGGTGTCCTTAGCTCAGAGCACCCACACGGCAACACCTCCCCCTACACACACACACACACACACACACACACACACAGCTCTTTCTTCTTTTGGTACTTTCTCTCCCATTTGGGGTGACAGGGGATGAAACCAGTGACCAGGCTGAAACAATAGTTCTGGTTTCTGGGCTTTGAGTCTACCTGGTAAGATGCTGGACAGGAAGACAGCATAGTTGTGGGCTCTAGGAGGCTAGGGTGCCTTTGGTCACCTCAAGGACCCACCCATCTCCCACCCCAGGACCAAGCAAGCTCCAGCCCCTCCATCAGGCAGAGGGCGTGGTATCTTTCTGTCTTGGACCGTCTTTCTCTAACGAGCTCACTTCAGTGATGTCTGTGACACAGCGGCCCAAGTTGACCAGGGCACTGCCACAAACACTCTTGGTGGAATCTGGGACAAGAGGGACTCAAGTGCCTTCCAACTCCCAAAGGGATCATCATGAAATTCGCAGGGTTACATACACAGTGCACAGTGCAATCTTGACCTTTGCCCTCTGCCACCAGGGGCAGGAGACAAGGTGACCTTTGCTTCAGGGTGGGGCATACTATACTGGCTCTGGGGTTGCAGAGTATGGGGGTTCTTGACCTCAGGGTTCTCCATAGTCTGTCTCCATAGTTTTGCCTGGCTAGCTTTACAGCACCTGCCCTGCCCAGAGAGCACCAGGAAAGTGGCCGTCTGCTTAGAGCGCCCTCTTGTGACATCCATCCTCATGACTGTTACCTGCACTATCCGAATAGGTGTGCTTGGTGCAAGGGTTATTTATAGGAAAGGGACCCTCTGGGGTCCAGGGCTCCCCATTGGTCTGACCCCCACTCACATCAGAGTCTAAGCTCAGCACCCCCCATCTTCAAACCCCATGCTGTGGGCCATATTCTTTCTTCAATACTGTATCCTGTATTCGGGCCCCACCCCGAGGCCATGGCAAGCTGATCAGAGGAACCATATTAGCCAGTGACCATGTTGAGTGAGATGGGAGTAGGTAAGGCGAGCCCGTACACCATCTAAGACTGTTCCGCTGCACTGTCTTAAGGTGGATCCCCTCGTTTTTTAAATAAAAGGGAAGTAACCCCATTCCCTCCCCTTCGCTCTCACAAAAATAAACTAAATGAAGACGAGCCGGTGCAGAGCTGGCAGTGGGACCTGGGGGCAGGTAAGCAGGCGTCTTGGGCAGGACAAGGGCTTCAGCAGGATACCTCCATGGTGTGGTTGACCTGGCCCATGCCCTCACTGCTCTCTGAGTGGGCGCAGGGCTGCGGACGGCTGCCGTCCACAGAGCTGGCGCTGGTGAGAGACGCCGTGCGTGAGCGCGCGAGGCGGGTCATGCTGGCCGAGGGCACTGCGGACAAAAACAAACACTGAGGACAGGCAAGGTGGCGGCAGCAGGCAGGAAACGGGCAGTGCAAGCAAAGCGGCCAGTGAGCCCCGTCTGTGCGCAGAGGCCCATCCCAAGCCAGGGTGCTGGCGCGGGCTCCGTCAGGCCGAGGCATGCAGGACCAGCAACAGTGAGCAGGCCAGGTGGACTGTGGCCAGCAGGGTCCTAGGTAGCTCCCCAGAGCTATGGCCAGGGCAGGGTATGTGTTGATTAGGAACACTTAGCTGGGATAGGGAGACACTGTGTGGCCAACTAGACCTTCATCCAGAGAGTGACAGGGTAGGAGGCAGGATTGCTTCTGTGAAGGGCGCAGTCACAAACTACCCTGAATCTTGCTTCTACTATTATAGGTGAGGCCAGTCCACCTAGAGGCTGGGCCAGGGACAGATACAATGCCCGCAAAGGCCAACACTAGCGCTGTGTCTGAGCTTCTGCTTCTAAGTCCCAAAGCTTTGCAAACCCCATAGCTCCCAGCAACCCAGAAACAAGGCAGCTGCTCTGAGACCAGGCAGCATCAGGTTCCCACATGGCACGGAGCCCTTGGCAGACCAGGATCTGCAGTGGAGCAGGGGAGCCACTGAGGCTTCGAGCTGAGCAGGACACAAGAGGATTCCAAACCACGGCAAGACACACAGTGTGGCTGCAGCACTGCAGTGGAGCGGGGGGGGGGGGGGACACGACACGGACTAGGCAGGGTGTCCATGCAGCAGGAGAGGGGCCGTGGCTACCTGCTCCTCCACTCAGCCTTCGGTCCTTCAAGTGTGCAACTAAGAGAGAAGACAGCCAGAGAGGGCAAGGGTAGGGGAGACACAGAACATGGTGAGGATGAGCCAGACCCAGGGCATCCAGATGGGCCGAGGGGAGACAGACATGAGTGAGGGCCAGGGCTGAGCCTTGGAGAGCCCCTGCTGCAACCATGCAGACAGCAGTTCATGGAAGCCACGCACCAGTCTGGGGTCTCACCTCTCTTCTCTAACCCATGCTGTGGCGTACAGCCCACGGAGGGCACATCCTGCACCCAGTGCCCTCACCGCTCTACCAGACCTCAACCTTGCACATGAAGGGGAGGAAGCCTGTACCATCTTCCAAAGCTCCTCCCCCGACTCCTGGGATGCCTGCTGGATGTCTCACAAGGACACACACCAGTGCCTACAAGTGTTGCTCCTTCTTGGCCTCACTGGCGCCTGCCAAGCTCCAGAGTGCATGGGGCCAGCTTAGGTCCTGGCCAGGCCTCCCTGTCTGTCTTTGCGTTTCTTTGCCGTCTCCCCATGAGGCTTGCAGGGTGCAGGGCTGTCCTATTTCTGCCCCGAGGAGGGACACGCTCAGAGGCTGAGGTCCTTGGTGGAGGCACCAAACTGAGGGAGGCAGGCGTGTGCTGTTAAGAGGGGGCTAGGGGCCCCGAGGTACACAGGAGCCGCCAGAATCGTAAACCTGTGTGCATGTATGTTTGTGTGTGCATGTGTGTGTGTTTGTGTGTATATATTTATGTATGTATGTGTGTATATATGTATGTTTGTGTGTATGTATGTGCATGTGTATATGTATTTATGCATGTATGTATGTGTGTATATATTTATATGTGTGTGTATGTATGTTTGTGTGTATGTATGTGCATATGTGTGTGTATATATGTATGTTTGTGTGTATGTACATGTGTGTGCATATGTGTGTATATGTGTGTGTATGTTTGTGTGTATGCATGTGTGTCGTTGCATGTGTGTCATTGCATGTATGTATTTATGCATGCATGCATGTATGTGTGTATATTTATATATGTGTGTGTATATTTGTGTGTATGTATGTGTGTGCATGTATGTTTGTATGTATGTGTGTGCATGTGTGTATATGTGTGTGTATGTGTGTATGCATGTGTGTCATTGCATGTGTGTCATTGCATGTGTGTGCATGTATATGGTATATATTTGTGATTGTATGTGTGTGCATGTGTGTATGTTTGTATGTATATGTATGATTGTATGTGTGCATGTGTGTATGCTTGTGTGTGATTGTATGTGTATGTGTGTAGGTGCATGTATCTATGTATGTGTGTGTATTGTGTGTGTGCATGTATCTGTGTATGTATGTGTGTGTGTATCTGTGTATGTATGTGTGTGATTATGTAGTGTATGTGTCTGTGTCTGTGTGTACTGCATGCTTATGGGCGTAGGCTGAGTCTCATCACTGTTACCTCAGGGGATGTTTCAGGAAGGATGGGAACCAGAAAGCTGCTTTAGAGCCCTTGTTCCCAGCGGATCCTCAAGCTTACTTTCCACAGGTGTGAACGGGCCAACACCAAGATGGTCCCAATTCCCTTCTCTGGTCCTAGACTCCATGGGTCTGAGCACTAAGCCTCTACTGTGACAAACAGCCTTTTGGGGCACCCTAATCCCAATAGGGTGTGCGTGACTCATCTGAAACAGGCTTCCCTAACAGCACCAGGCCAAGCTCCTGGTCTCTCAAGGCTGGAAGACGAGCCCTCTCCCAAACAGGCCCTGACATCGGGCTCAGAATAATGCCTAAGGCTCCACACAAGCACAGAGGCTGACTGGTCCAGGACACACCCTATAATGTATGCAGAGTCTGGGGGGAGTAGCCCAGCCTTCGGGGGTCCAGGTGACAGAGTACACTCATCCACAGACTCCCCGGCACATGGGCAGCGTGCCCAGGTCCCTTGCCCAGGGTGGGTGGAGGTGCACTTACTGTAGCCCATGCCTTGCAGGAAGTATTTGAAGGCCTCAGTCAGCTTTCCTGGCTGCAAGAAGATGGACAGGAACGTGCTCTGATTGGCTGCCTGGGTCTGGTGGGGAGGATGCCACCCCCCACCGCCAACAGGCTGACACAAAGGCAGAAGGTCCAGGGGTCTTACCTGTGTCACCTGAGGAAGGCCACCAGAATCTGCCATCTGAAAGGAAGAGAGCAGGGAGAACTGAGTCCCTCCCAACACCTGGGCAGACTGTGCTGTTCCCATGCTGTCCACCAGACCCCTTCCTGCAGCTGAGCCACGGGGCTGACAGGGTAGGGTGGGGTGGGGTGGGGTGGGGTGGGGCGTCTCACCTTCAGGAAGGTTGTGGTGGTTGGGTCCAGTTTGGAGTTGCACTCAACCTGGGGACAAGGAGGCAGCTGCAGCAAGACCCCTGTTCCACTGCTTAGGCAGGTTCTGTGCCCAGAGCAGGGAAAGGAGGGAGGGGAGGGAGGGGAGGGAAGGGAGGGAGGGGAGGGAGGGGAGGGAGGGGAGGGAGGGGAGGGAGGGGAAAGAGGAAGACACAGGCCCCAGGGCTTCCATTCCCAGGTCCCAAGTCCCCGAGGCCTGTTGGTCTGCGCGGCCTGAAGTTCCATTCATAATCACAAGTGGGGCAGGAATGGGGTCAGGGTTTGACTGAGAAGGCCGGGGCCACTCTACCAGGATGGACCAGAGATCTGGGCACTGTTAGGGGACAGCAGGGGACACTGGGGCCCTGCCTGGGCCAAGATGGTTAGTGCAGCATTCCCCGAGAGCCCTTGAAAGTTTGGTGTCTTCTGAACGCCCCTGGGCTGTCAGGCACCCGCCTGTCCTGAGACTGCATACTGCCAGAGTGCCAACGGGCGCGGTTTCATGCACAGCCCCACCCTGGGCGGGGGGCTCCAGGGTGAGCACTGATGTCTATGAGCCACTTATGGGTCAGAGTTTGAAAGTGTGTGGAGACTGAGGTAGGCTATACTGTGAGGGAGAGAGGAGGGACCACCAGGCTGCACGGCCCTAGTCTTGACTCCACCCACTCACAGGGCCCCTCCCCCTGCACAATGCGGGTGGTCAGACCCCAGTGCGTGACCAGGTGGCAGGAGAGCATCTGGGAAACTCCTCATTCAGAGCCCGCCCCAGACTCTCACCTCCACCCCCGCCCACCCCGCCACCCCCTCCACTCCGCCCACCCCGCCACCCCCCCACCGCCCCACCCCCGCCCAGGAGAGCCACGCTCACCACGCCGTCCTCAGCAGGTGCGTTGTCTCCGACTACCAGCATCACAGGGCAACTATGAGACAGAGGATAAGGGTCATCTGGCCTGGGCTTAGGGACAAAGGCGAGGACAGGCTGGCGGGCAGGAGTCACTCACCGGAGCGTCTTGGCATTGGGCACGGTCCCAGGCCGGTTAATGTCCAGGTCTCTGCGGCTGTGGGGAGGGGCGAAAGTAAAGGGGGCATCGGGGTGGATCCCAACACCGTTAACTGGTAAACCTGGGAGTCATGGACTTGCTGTGTCTACACAGGACCCTGTGGGCTCCCCTGATCATGACTGCTTCCCAGGACCCCACGCTGTGTCAGGTGTGTGCTCCAGGACCACACACACAAACAACCCTTACTCAATATTTGCATCCGGGTCTCTTCCTCACTGCAGTTTTTCCAGCAGGAGCTTCTTTACGGAAAGTTTACAAAAGATACAGGGCTGAGCGCCTAGTCCTGCAGTGGGGACCACGGGTGCTGACGACACGCTCTCCAACCCCTCAGCGCCCAAGAAATGCCTCTCCCAGACTTCAAAATCAGCTCCTCTGCAAGCAGGGACCTTGCTGCCCGCCCTGCCCTGCCCTGCCCCGCCCTGCCCTGCCCCGCCCTGCCCTGCCCCGCCCTGCCCCGCCCCGCCCCGCCCCTCCCGCGGGGCATGCGCCCCCCCCCCCCCCACTCGCACCTGTTGTACATGTTCCAGAAGAGCTGCAGGTTGGCCTGGTTCACCACGTTTGAGATCTGCTGCCGGTAGCTCTGCACCAGCCCGGTGTTGTTCACCAGCTCCTCCTGGGTACGGGAGGGCGGGGACACACAGGAGGGAGGGTCTCAGGGCTCGGAGAGGGCACGTGGGAGTCCCCTACAGAGTTGCTCGGCCCCACTGTCTGGAAGGCAGGGCGGGGGAGGGGGGCTCTGGAGTGGAAGGCTTCCCACTGGCCACCTCAGAGGGCTCCGTGAGCCGCAGCCTGTAGCCCCTGCTCCTGAGGATGCCCCAGGTGCGCTCCCATCTGCCCCTTACCTGGCTGAAGAGATGGGACAGCACCGTATCCGGTAAAGTGCTGGTCAAGCCAGAGAGCTGCGGGAGGGAGGGAAAGCCAGAGTGAGGCTGTCTCCGTCACTGCTCCCACAGCCAGGCCTTGTGGGCTTGGCGCTCACCTTGGTGGCGGCCCAGTCAATCCAGCCTTTGCCGTTGGGGTCAATGTTCATCAGCACCAGCCCCTCCACCAAATCGGGGAAAATGAGCTGCAGGTCAAGGGGAGAAGGAAAAAAGGCCATAACACTCTTGCTTGGTGACATCTTCAAGATACCACAGACGGCCAACTGTGTACCCGGGTCTGTCTCTACAGGGCTCCTATGCCAGGGGCCTTACTGCTCCTCCTCTGCCCATGCCTAGAAATTATTAGATTTAGGTAGAATCCACTATCGCAGCTTTTTACCCTTTTAAGTACGTATGTGTGTGTGAGTGTGTGTGTGTGTGAGTGTATGTATGTGTATATATATATGTTTGTGGGTGTGGTTCTGGGGATGGGACCCAGAGTACTATCATGTGTGCCCAGCAAATGTTATCATGAAGTCATACTTCCAATGTTTTTATTTGTTTTTGAAGGTGTTGCAAAACTGAATATTAAACATCTTCAAATCTTGTAATTTTTTTATATTTCTTCATTCATTCATTCATTCGTGTGTGTGTGTGTGTGTGTGTGTGTGTGTGTGTGTGTGTGATGTCACAACTCTGTGGATTCTCTTTACCCCTTCCTCCCTTATGTGGGCTCCAGGGATCGAACTCAGGTCTCCATGTTTGGGCGGCAGGTGCTTTACTTGCTAAACCATCTCTCCAGTGCATCTGTTTTATTTTTATATGATGCTAGGGGAGGGACATGAGCCCCAGGAATGCAAGGCAAACACCATCATGGAGACCACCCCTAGGTCTTTTCTCCTCCTCCCTCCCCCTTCCTCCCTCCTCCCTGCCTCCCTCCTCCCTGCCTCCCTCCTCCCTCCCTCCCTCCCTCCCTCCCTCCCTCTTTCATTAATTTCCTTGGAGGAAAAAAAAGGGAAGAGCTTTTGTTTCTCAGCAAAGGGAAGGAAGAGGAGGAAGAGCGGGGAAAGAAAGCGCCTTGTGGTCCAAGGATCATCCTCTCGGCCTGGACTGGGGCTCTCTGTGAGGGCGGGGAGACTCACCGCAAACTTGGCCAGCACATAGGCTCCGGCTCCCACACCAATGCCGATCACGTATTTGAACCTGTCACCGAGTAGGGCTGGTCACTCTATGGCTGGGATGTCGTTTCGCATGAAGCTCAGCTACGACAGGTCTCACCCACCACCCTCAGCCCTTAGCCAGGCGGTGGCGCTGACTCCTGTCCCCCAGGCCAGAGTCAGGAGCCTGGGAGGGACTCACCCGAAGTGCTGTACCACACTGGGGAGCATGGCAGCCAGCTGCTCCATGGAGGGGAACTGGTACCTGTGGGCAGAGTGGAAGCTCAGGACCTGGGCACAGTTGAGGCCGCAGTGCTGGGGCTCGTGAAGAGACCCTGGGGGTACCTACCCCTGAGGGAACTGTGACGCCCCCATCTGCTGCCCAGGGGCATCCACATGGCACACCACAAAGTGTTTGGTGATCTCCTGCATGTCCTCGAAGTTGAAGAAGGTGTTGAAGCACAGCTTGTCTGCAGAGACACACCTCTTAGTGGGTGAACACAGAGGGCAGGCATCAGGGATGCCAGGGGCCGGGGGCTGCAGGGTCCAGTGGGGAATCCCAGGCCAGGGGCTGAGTCACAGAGGGGATGGGGAAGGAACTGAGACCTGCAGGAGAGCATGCATGCAGGGGAGAGTCCTCGCTGGTTTGGCTGTTCAAGGTCGGGCCAGGCAGAGCGGATCGGGGCACAGCTGCACTTACGATTGAGGCCCACGTCATGGTAGGTGAGGATGGCTGGGCGGTTCCCTTTAGGAGAGCCCCGGATCACCACGTGCAGAAGGCCGTAAGGCGTCTCGATGTCATGTTCCTGGTTGGGGGGGGAGCAGATGGCACTGGAAACTCTGGTTCTTGGGGAATGAGGTGGTAGAGCCCGTAGTCAAGGTGTCTATCTCCTCAAGTCATCCCACAGAGGACAAGTGGAGCCTCCTCCTCAGAGTGTTCAGTCCAGAACAGTCCCGATTCCCTCTACCAACCAACCTGCCACTGCCCTGCATCCAGCCAGCCACAGGGTCCCAGGAGGCCAGCTTTCTCCATTTCACACAGCCTTCCCAAGAAGGCTCTGCCACCCCAACCAAGCTCCTAACCCCATTACCAACCAAGGTGCCCCCCTTCCTGCAGAATGGCCTCTGCCACCCCACCTAGAATTCACGGCAAACATTCTCCTGTCAGCCGCATTCTGCTCCCAATCCACGCACCTGTCCTCATTCCTGCTCTCTCAAATCCCCTGCCCTGTGGTATACACATCCATGGCCTTCCTCAGGCTGGACTGGGCTAGCCATGCCTGCCTCCAAGGTCCTTACTCCTTACTCCCAGGAACCAAGCCCGTGCCCTTGTGCTCAGGTCTAGCCCTTCAGGGGGACCTGGCTATGTGTGACTCTCAACATGGCAGGCAGCTTCTCAAGTCATGCCACGGAGACTTTGTGGGAGTCACAGCACGCAGACATGGCCCGGAGCAGGGGGCTGTTGCAGATGGCAACCCTGAACCTTGAGGGGCTACCCTGTTGACTGACCTCTGCAAACGGGTCATTCCTGGGATCCCTCAATCAGGAAACACACTGGTCCAAGTTGAATATACCCTGCCCTCTACCACAGGGTCCTGATGCCACTGCCAGTGGCCCAGAGCTGGAGCTGGGGTTACTGTCCCCAACAGGAGAGAAACAGCAAATGACTGAGCACTGACTCTGGGCCAAACTTCCTACCTGCCACTCAAGACGGAGGGGACCCAGACTCCATTTTGCACTGGTGTCAGGTAAGGGAGATGTGTGTGACAAAGCCAGTTTCCCACAGACTGGCCTTTCTGGGTGCAGTGTCAGAGGTCCACTGATCAAACTGGACCTCCAGAGGGAATGTGGTGACAACCCCATGGCCACAGGCCACACTCTGGAACCCACACTCTGCTGGGAGGCCTGAGTATCGATCACCCTGGGGTCCTCACTCAGGTCCAGGCCCAACACAGCCTCCCAGGCCTGTCCCTCCCTGGGGACCCATTTGACCAAGAAAAGCTTCCTGCTCCCTGGTGCTTGTCACATGACACCTCATTTACTCCTCACTGGACCCGCGGCCCTCTACAGCACACTCTGCAGGAATACACATATCGACTCGCCAAGGTCGAGCCCAGGGCTGACAAGATGCCAGCTTCGGGCTTTGCACCAAGGGAAGCGTTTTCTGAGGGGGAGGCTGAGGTCCACCCAAGGGACCCACCTCGTAAGCAGGCTGCCCCCACCCAGCCAGCTGCTTTTCTCCTCTGGGTCCCTGCCTCAGTCACCCCACTGCTCTCTCAGCTCTGGAGGAAGGGATGCGGCCCGAGGTGCACGGTGTAAAAGCATCACACAGCCACCAAAGGGGCAGCTCTCTGTTGTGGTGAGTCTGGTCTTGCTCTGCCAGGACACAGGGACCTCTGGGTATGTGAGAGGTGTCTGCTCCTGCTACCAAGGTGTTCTACACTCCCTTCTCTTCCTTGACACCAATTCCTTATCTCTGTGGAGATACCGTCAGTCACAGCACTGGCCTTGCCAAGTGGAGAAACGCTGGCTTTGACCAGGTCATGAGGACCTAAGGGAGGGATGCTAACCACATTTCTTGTCCTGAGACGCAGTGACCTTGACTGGGTGCTCCCAACAACTTCTTTTCCACCTCTCCCTTCTCAGTCCTGGGCTGAGGACTCAGACCCAGGTTGTCTGACAGAAGCTGAGCATCCCCACCCCTCAGGGTGCTGACCAGAGCAGGAGCATGCCTCAAGGGCCGCAGCCCAGCAGACGGTCAGCCCCTCATCCCAGGGTAGAGTGCTCCCATTGGCTCTCAGTGACGTCAGAGCCCAGCCCCCCACCTCCAGGTGGGCGCTAGAGGGATGCATTGCGGCAGGCAGCAAGGGAGGGGGCTTTGCCGTGCCTCCCTGGCTGTCTGTCCTCGCCAGTGACCTTGAGGGCTGGGGAGAAGAGGGTCAGAACAGGGCTTCGACACGCCACAGCCGTGGTTGCGGCAGGGTCTGTCTTGAGCAGCTTCCTGGGTAATTCAGGAGACACGGTCTACACAGGAGGGCAGAGGCTCAGGGGGACCAGGCAGGGAAAGAGAGTGAGTGACAGGGTCACGGACGCATCTGTCCTCGCATCTCCTCCTTGAAGAGGAGCACAGGGCTTGGGTAGCTGTTGCTCCTCCCCCATGGCAAGAGGAGGTGTCCTGGGGCCCCACGCCCTGCCCGCTCAGTGCTCCAGGCTTCCCCACCTCTTAAGATAAAGCAGGGCAGCCCCTCCTTGACTCTCCTCCCGCAATAGCTCCTGCTGAAGACCCAGACTCCCACCCTTCCCTCTGCCTGGCACTGCAGGGCGCTGGGACACACAGCTCCTCATGGAGACATGGCGCTCTGCTGCAGCTATCCGGCATCAAGACCCCCCCCCCCCAGGCCAGACCCTGCAGGCCCAGCCCTGACAGTGCTAGGAACATGCCTGCCTGCGGCTCACGGAGGACTCACCGAGCTGACGTGACCCCACGAGTTCACACAGGAGGCAGAGGGCACGAGCCGGAGAGCAGAGGGCAGTGCAGCCAGTACGTTTCCCAGACACCACCCTTCTTACCCCGCCCTCCGCACCCACAGCCTGACAGGCCGGGAAGACAGGCATCCGGGCAGGGCTGTCACCAGACAGAGCGGGAGGACACCTTGTCCTCTGTGGGTCACAAGGATGTCCCATCCTCCCTGCCCACCCCGCAGACCCCTTGGTCCCTCACTCACCCCGTCCCAGCACTCCGGCATCTTGCCGAGGAAGGGAGTTTGCTGAACCAGAAAGGGCAAACGAAAGCCTGAGTCACTCGGTCTGGAGGGAGGGGGCAGCTTGGGTGGGAGGCCAGCTCTGGGATGCTGGGGCACAGCTCCGGGTGATTTTATACACAGATCCTGGCCCTGCCCAGGCTGGTCCCTCCTCCCCGAAGGGTTTGAGCCGCTACTCGCTCACTCATTGGCTGCTAGGAGACAAACCCGGCTCCAATTGGCTTCTGAGATCCTCGCTCACTCGGCCTTGCTTCGGCCCCGCCCGCCCCAGCGACACAACCTCCTGATGGTCCCCAGCCCCTGCAGCTCCAGGGTGCTTGGTGCCCGGGCACCTTCCGTCAGGTACAGCTGTATGTGGCTCCCGCGAGCTGCAGCAGCCAGGCCCTCACAGGTGCCCCTGCACCATGCACAGAGGCGCAGCATCCCAGGCGATGCAGAGCGGCTGCAGACGCTGGGTTTGCAGAGCGGCCTCAGCCCTTGCCTCCATCCCCTGGGAGCAAGAAGGTTCCGAAGGTCCCGAGAGCCCAGTATCTGGAGGATCTGACTCCCAGGCCCAGCCACCCCAGCAACATGACAGCCTGGGTCACATGACCTCGAGGATAGCTTCTGGCTGGGGAGGACATCACTGGTTTTGGGGATACCTAGGTTTCCCCATTGCTTCAGGGTCTGCCACTCCTTAGGTGTTTGTCTCCCCTTAGGTATGTCGGGGCGCTGGGCAGGAGCAGGGGAGCGGTAGGGCAGGCGTGGCCCTCCCTGACCTCACACTCCTGCAAGAGGAGGAGAGGGAGAGAGGCTGGCACGTTTGCACCCCACACAAGCACTCACCCCAAGCCCTGTCCTCTGAAGCCGGTCAGTATGAAGTCCAGTTCCTGGTGTCTGGAGACACGAGTGATGCCAGGCTGTGGGCCTTACCCATCAAGGCAGTGAGGTGCAGCTGGTAAGCTGGCCCCAGGCACTCAGATGGGGCACACAGCAAGGGGAGCAGAGGAGAGAAGTAGGCCAGGGAGCTGACAAAGGGGGGAGCCCCAGGGCTGAGAGGACATGGTGTGGGCTGGGGGCCTGGGCCCCCATCCTGTCTCCTTGGTAGAGGAACACACTGCTGGTCCCTATCTGTGCTGACGGCCCCGCACCCTGGCGAGTCCCAGGGGAAGGTGGCCAGCTCCCCGCCCAGGTGCCTGGTGACCTGCTTTACAACAGTTATGTGCGTGCGCTACTCCTAGTGACAGCCTCTGCCCGGGTGCCAACAGCTTTCCCTGTGCCACTTCGGACCAGGCCGCCACTAAACAGAGACACGGAACAGTGCCCCAGCCCACCTGTCCTGGTCTGCCCCCAAGTCCTCCCATGGGCCTCTCAAGGGAGCGGAAAGGTCCTGCCACTGATTCCCACTTCCTGCGGTCCCTGACCAATCCATGCCAGCTCCCTGACTACCTACGGAGGGGTTTCCCTCTCCCTGGCTCCCAAGAGAGATGCTGACCCAACACTGGCCTCTTCCAAGCCACCTGTGTCCGCTCAGCTCGCTGGCCACAAACCCACAGGCCAGGTCTGCTCAACCAGCTCTCTGAGGAGTCCTGGGGCGAGGTTTTTCATTCTCTGCTTCTGAGGAGACACAGAGGCCTGAGAGAAAGTCGAGGAGCCTGAGGCCCAGAAGTCCGGCTGTTGTCTCGCTCAGGTAAGGGGCAGCAGGGCTTCTCTCAGTATTCTGGCCCAAGCACGACCATCAAGGGGTGCAGACACTTACATTAGGGTGCCCCCGCGTCGGACCCTAGCGAAGTGCTTTACATGCTATCTCATTTAGCGCCCCCTTTTCAGACACGTGGTAAGTTGCCCCACCTCCCACAGCTCCAAGCCACAGCACTCAAGCCGTGTCAGGTTGCCTACTGGGACGGTGTGATAGCGTTGGCGGCTATGCCTTGCCGCGGCCACGGGGAGTGGAGTGTGGTGGGAGATGTCTGAACGCTGGGCCCTTGGGCACCATCTTGTCACAAGCACTGAGCCACTCGCTTCTCCACACAGAACGAGCAGGCTGAGAGGCGCGTGGGGGTGGGGGGCAGGGGGGCACCTGAGAGCAGTGGGGTGGGGGCAGGGGGCACCTAGAGACTGGAGCAGGCTGAGGGGCGTGTGCGGGTGGGTACTGACGGACCTAGACTGCCACCTCTTGTACTTTGTTTTCTCGGTCTTCTCTCCCCTGCAGCTGACCCTGCAAAGCCAGGGACACTGACACTGCCTGCCACCGTGGGGCAGGGGATGAGGGTGGCTCCCCAGCTGTGGCCCACAGGGTGGCCGTTTTGTAGGTGTTAATAAAAACAAACAAGGAGCCTGCCTCTACGAAGTGTTCCCAGGGCGACAGGAAGGTTCACGATGCCCTTCACCAAGCAAAGGCTCTTGAGAACCGGGTCCCACCACGCACAGCTGCCCTAGGCTTGCAGAGCCTTCCGTGGCAGGGCCTGTCACGCTCTGATTCCTGGCTGTCCCTTCTGCTGGCCCACTGGCAGCCACATCCCTCCCATTCTTCCTCAGGGGTGGATTAGCTCCATTCGGATTAGCTCCAGCTGCCCTGTCCTACATGTTTCTTTCGGCTGAGGCCTGTGACCTCAGGGGGTGTGGGCATGGGCACGTGGTCTGCCTATAGCCTCCCTTCATGTCCTTGAAGAGGCACATGACCAAGGGACCAACACAGGCCCAGATCCTCATTCTTGCTGACTAGCTTCTTCAGGGGGAGGAGCCATCAGGAGCCCCACCTCCTGTATCCAGACTACAAGATCGCTCCAAGGAGAATGACCCAGATAGAGGTCAGGTGGAAGAAAGAGGTGGCCTGGGAGTGACTTCCATTCAGCAGGGAGGATTGGTTTGTCATATTCGGATGGCCAGTAGAGTCGGAGAACCCTGTAGGCCTATCTCCCTCTCCAGACTATGCTGGCTGTTAGGCACGCTCCGGTACCTGGAAGCAAACAGTTACTAGGGGACTCTAAGGGGAGAAACAGCTGGACAAGTGAGCAGCATCACGTGAAGGAATAACAAAGAGCAAGTTCCGTTTTCATGGTACCTTTGGCATCAAACTAAAGAGGACATGGTTGTCCAGGCAACGGCTGCTATGGAAACAAGAGTTATTTCACAGTCAACCTGGCTTTCACTGGAGGAAAATGCTGACTCAGGTGGAAGCATCTCTCGCTCCCCTCTGCACACTCACTGCCTGAGGCCTCTGCTTCCTGCCCAAAGGTCCTGCTCACAGAGGGTCCAACACCCCTCCAACACACACACTGGGCTGGGGGAGCAGCTACAGCAGGAAGCAGGTGGATGTGATGCGAGCAGTGGGGGTGATCATCAGATCATGAGGCGGCCTGCCCTCGCCACCAGAGAGCAGGACAGACAGACAGGCTATGTCTCTCCTCCAGCACCCAGCCCAGTGGGAATGAGGTCCACACGGATACGACGGGTCCCACATTTTGAAAGGCTGAGCCTTAACCTACCTTCCAGTCTGTGTCCACAACTGAGAGGAAGGTGTCAGGGTTCTCCTAAGGAAGACAAGCAAGGGGGACAAGTTAGCCAGCTCCCAGGGCTCTGCCAGAGCAGACTGGTCTTCTGACCCCCAGTTAAGTTCATGCTAACGGAAGTGGCTCCTGGGCTCACCCAGGGTGTCGGGGTAGGAACAGCGCAAGGGTGTCTGTCTTGTAGGCTGTCAGGGAGAGGGAGGGCTGCTCCTCAGGCAGAACGCTCTGGGATCTCTGCCTGACTGCTGGCTTGGACCAACCACTGCACACAAGGCAAAGGGTGACAGAGGAGCAAAGAGGCACCGGGGTTGTCACCCGCAGGGCGGGGAAGGTAGCTGGGACCTGTTCAGGGCTCTGACCTATGAGCTCTGGGTGTTGTCAAGGCCGGTAGCCCTGCCCACTCCACTCTCTGACTTCTTGGGTCTGTGTGACAGTGGCAGTGGTATCTTCCAACAGTGCCTGTCTGGACTCCAGATGCCATGATGGAGGGGCCCTATCTGGCCATGGAGAGCCTGGACTAGAGTGGGCTCCCAAACACAGGCTAATCTGGACAAACAATCTGACATCATAAATGAGGGGCATGGGGCTCAGAAGACACCCAAAACGGGGCAAGCACGTGCCAGTAGTTCAGTACTCAGGAGGTAGGGAGCCCACACCAGCCTCAGCTGTGGGGTGAGGCCTACTGATTCCTCCAGGGTCTAGGACATCTACAGGGTCAGGGGAGAGAAGGTGGCCACTTCTGGGGTCCCTTAGGGAGGGGGCTTCTGGCAGAAGGGGGTAGGGCTGGTGACTGAAGGGGCCTTTCATGGAAGTGCCTTCAGGGAGAGGGCTGAAAAGCAAGTGTGGGAAGGTAATTACCTCAGGGGAGGAGGGAGGAGGCAGCTCTGTTAAAAAACAAAATTTGACGGGACGGGTGATGCCGATAATGGTAGGGTGTGCTGTGTACGCTCTCGGGAAGTTGGGGGCTCAGGAGGCAATGGTGTGGGAGGGACGGGGCCCCCAGGCCAAGACGGAGCAGAAAAATGAGCCGACATGAACCCCTGGGAACCACGGGAGTGGCCGAGGGAGCTCTAGCAAAGGACAGAAGAGGACCTGGGCGGACGGAGGGAGGCCTACGGGGGCCGGGAAGATCACTGCGGCCGGGAAGATCCCGGAGGGGTAGCGAGGGGCAGCAGTGTCCCACAGCACCTGGGATTCCCCGACCCTGCAGTCTTCAGGGAAAGCAAATGCCTTATGGAGGCGAAAGGCACGTGGAATATAGTCATCCCCCTGCCTCTGCACTAGTTCCAGAACCTTCCGTAGGTACCAAGCTCCACTTCTCTATGATGGCATTTTATCAGCCCAGACCCCACGATTCTGCTCTCACACAACTCAAACCAGTTCTAGGTGGCCTATCCCACACCTTCTAGAGGATAAGCATGTGTCACAGAAATAGTTGCAATACTCTGCTGTTAAAGGAATAAGGACCAGAAAAAAAAGCATGTACTCTGGCTACTTCTACCTGGCTAACTGAGGCCCTGGGTGTGGACCCTGTGGATACGGAGGGCCTGCTGTATTCACCCCTCTCTGGATACAAAAGTGTGTATCTGGCAGACCGCAGCCATCAGAAGGTAGAGAGGTCAGGCAGGCACTGCGCTCTCTCGGGATGCTGAGAGAACTTGCCAGCACCACAGCCCAAGAAAGGGCAGCTCCTGAAGGCAAAGACACAGCTAGTCGACACCTCTAGGACTTTTCTGGGAGTCACGGAGGCTACAGCGGGCATTTTTCCTAATGCCCCCTGGGAAAGAGCAGAGGTGGTGGGTTACCCAGCAAGAACCTCTTGCTGACTCAAGGATCCCAAACGCCAGAGTGGCAAGCGATGGCCCTGGTGTGAAATGAGAGACTAGGTACAGCAGGGGGAGGAGGCAGGGGGAGGAGGCAGGGGAGGAGGCAGGGGAGGAGGCAGGGGAGGAGGCAGGGGGAGGAGCTGGAAGGAAAGGGCCAGCAAGATACTGCAGGAGGCTTGAGAGATCTCGGCACAAGACAGAGCTGTGCTGCAGGCTGGGGTCTGATGACAGCACACGCTGGAGCGTGGACACACACGGGGAGTGACCACAGAGCGTGGAGGGGCACCAGCAGCAGCCTAGTGGTTAGCAAAGGCTCTCTGGGAACACTTAAGCAGAGGCCAGAATAAAACAGGGAGGCTGCCCTGTGAGCGCTTGGGCTAATGTCTTCTTCCAGCAGAGGAAGCAGCTGGAAACATGGCAGCAACACTCAAGGTTCAAGGGAAGGAGGGAGGCAGGGGAAAGAGGAGACAATAGCCCTAGCCTCAGGCATGGCCACGGCTGTAGAGAGCTGGCAGTCACTGGAAAGTTTAGGTAAAGGACTAGCATGTGCTTTTTTTGTTTGTTTGTTTGTTTGTTTTGTTTGTTTTTTGAGACAGGGTTTCTCTGTGTCTTTGGAGGCTGTCCTGGAACTCACTCTGTAGACCAGGCTGGCCTCGAACTCACAGAGATCCGCCAAGTGCTGGGACTAAAGGCGTGCGCCACCACCGCCCGGCCTATCATGTGCATTTTTAAAGGGTTGTATTGCACAAGGAGAGAAATGGGGGCACAGGGAGGAGGCTCCTGCAGGCTACTTAGCATGAGGACCGGCTGTGGTCCAGGAGCAATGGATGCTTCCCTTGGGGTTATGTGTTGAATGACCAGCCACACCCTGTTCAGGGGCAGGGCTGTGTCCTCACGTGGTTGGATCCCCGGGGCTCTGGCTAAGCTGCCTGATGCCAGTCCTTGCTGCTCCTTCTGGCAGAAGGCTGGGAAAGCGGTGGAAATAAAACGCGAGCTGAATGCGGAAAACACTGGGCTCTTGCCTTTCCCAGATGCAAGCAAGGTGGGCGGGGTGCATACCCAGCCACGCTGGATGGCCGCTCTGGCTGACTCTGCAACTTTCTCAAGAAATGAATGGTCCAGTTCTGGGTAGCTCCGAGCCCACAAGGGAGGTTCTCCCCATCGTGACAGGCAAGAGTGCGGGAAAACATGCAATTTCCCCTTTCACCACTAGGTGGCACGCGGCCCCCAGCACCCGGAAGGGGCGACTCACCAGCTCTGTCACATCCTGGCCTCGGAGCAGGGGCTTCTCCTCAGGGAATCTCAGCTCCTGCAGCCCGGCCATGGTCACGTCGTGGAGCAGAAGCCCTAGGAGGAAGGGAGCATGAGGTTGGGCCTTGTTCTGAAGTTGCCCATTGAGGATATCACGGGCCAGGGCTACTGCCCCCAGGCGACCACAACCCGTCTCTCTCCAAGAACTGCTTTTTTTTGTTTTGTTTTGTTTTGTTTTGTTTTTCGAGACTGGGTTTCTCTGTGGCTTTGGAGGCTGTCCTGGAACTCGCTCTGTAGACCAGGCTGGTCTTGAACTCACAGAGATCCGCCTGCCTCTGCCTCCCGAGTGCTGGAATTAAAGGCGTGCGCCACCAACGCCCGGCTCCAAGAACTGCTTTTGCCAAGGAATATTATATTGTAATTGCTCTTTTCAAATGAAATCGTGTTTAGCATAATTAAGCAACAAGAGGATCCCTGTAAGTTTCAAACAAATCTCTGCCTTTACTATAAGGCAGAAAGGTTCTGTGGGGAGGTGCGACAGAGGCAGGCTCAAAGTGGCCAGGAAGGCGCTGCAGAGATTTTGGTAGAGGCTGGAGCTGGAGAGGATGGCAGGTGAGAGCTCTCTTTCCTGGGACTCAAACAGGGTCAGGACAGAAGACACATGTGATCTCTGCCTATGGCCACCAGAAGGTCCCATACCCTGATTTCTGGGTGATTCAGGTGGAGGCAGAAACTTTTTTTTTTTAAAGATTTGTTTATTATGTATACAGTGTTCTGCCTGCATGTACACCTGCACCACCAGAAGAGGGCACCAGATCTCATTATAGATGGCTGTGAGCCACCATGTGGTTGTGGTTGCTGGGAATTGAACCCAGGACCTCTGGGAAGAGCAGTCTGTGCTCTTAACCTCTGAGCCGTCTCTCCAGCCCCACAGCAGAAACTTTTGAGCCTTGGAGGAAGAAAGGGTCACACTTATACAGTGTGTGCACATTAGTGCAGGGGTACAGCAACAAACATCGGACAGACAGACAACCCAGGATGAGGGGCTTGCAGGAGAGGCAGTACCATCTCTCACTTGGTATAATGGCAGAGGCCAGAATACAGCTAGGAGGAAAATGAGGCAAGGATTTACACTAGACATCCATTAAGACACAGAGAAATATTCAAAGAAATTCAGATTAAAATAAGATACTCAGCCAGCATGGTGGCCCATGCCTTTAATCCCAGCACTTGGGAGGCAGAGGCAGGCGGATCTCTGTGAGTTCAAGGCCAGCCTCGTTTGCACAGCAAGTTGCAGGTCAACCGGGGTTTTATACTAAGACCCTGTCTCAAACAAATAACTAGTAAGATACTCATTTTTCCCTTTGTGACCGTGAAGCTTGCAAAGCTTGCCGTGCCAGCTGAGAGGCACAGGAAGCAGCACTTTCTAGATTTTAGTGGTATTGGGGATGGAACCCAGTGTCCCACACATTACACGAGCTACGTGCCCAGTCCTTGACTAGAACTTCCTTAATTTGCATGCCAGAAAAACATTGACACCTTCCCCCCCCCCCCCCCCCCCGAGATCAGTTTTGCAAAAATTCCTCAAAAGGCTCAAACCTTGGGCTGGGGACACAGCTGGGGTATAGACAATATGGATTACCAAAAAGAAAAGAAAAATATCCTAAAGAGTCACACTGTCAGACTTCCTAAGGAGCCAAGGAGGTGACTAATGGCTTAGCCTTAGGAATGCTCACCAGTGTCAACATCAACAGAAAAGCTGGAAGAAGCCAAAAGCCCGTCAGTGGGCCACTAGAGTCACATATGACTTTGCTAATCTGACAAGGGTTACTTTAACTCATGGGGAAATGCTGTGTAGCAATAAAAAGAAAAAAAATGCAGCTAGCAGGGGGCGAGACAGCTCAGCAGATAAAGCCATTTCCCACTAGATCTGATAATTGAGTTCAATCCCCAGAGCCCAAATAGTGAAAGGACAGCACTGGGTCCCACAGTGTCCTCTGACCTCTGCGTGCATGTTGTCACACATGTATAACAAGGGTAACGACTGTTTTTAAAGCAGCTACAAAAACATTTGGTGTCACATCGTGTATGAGAGATTCAAATGGCCCCACGAAAAGAGCTGTGACATCACACAGTCCCCAGGAGGGGGCGTGGTGGAGGGTAAGCTAGGGTGTGGGGGGGTCGTTCTGAGATACACAGTAAAACCCTGACAAAATATTCATAATAAACAACTAGTTTCAGGCATTGCTCCTGGAGGGGTGGGGAAGACTGGAAATAGGGTGTCTACCATGAGAACAGGACCCACAGAATGAACCGACCAGACCAGGACTTACAGGGAGCCTGCAGGGGTCTGACCCGGGTCCTCCGCATGCATGCGCTAAGGTGGCCTGGTGTTCTTGTGAGACTCCTGACAGCGGGAGCAGGGGCTGTCTCTGATTCTTCTGCCCACTTGTGGGACCTTTCCCTCCCACTTACTGAGTGCCTTGTCCAGCCCTGATGTGACGGTGAGTGCCTTGTCCAGCCCTGATGTGACGGTGTGTGCCTGGTTTTGCTGTAGCTTGCTGTGCCGGGTTTGGTTGATAACCCTGGGAGGTCTCCTCTCTTCTGGGGGGAGGCAGGGGTGAGCCTGGGGGGAGAGGGAAGTTAGGAAGGGGCTGGGGCAAGGGGAAGGAGGGGAACTGTAGCTGGGATGTACTATATGAAAGAAGAAAAGGAAACCAGAATGTCCACTCTCAAGTGTGGGGGGAGACATTTTTTTAATTAAATATTTTTGGGACAAGAGTCTCACTATGTAGCCTTGGCTGACCTGCAACAGTAATTATAGCTCTACTATGTAGACCAGGCTGGCCTAAATTTTTGTTGTTGTTTTTCTTTTCAGGGTTTCTCTGTGTAATAAAGTCCTGGCACTAGCTCTGTAGACCAGCCTTGAACTCACAGAGATCTGCCCGCCTCTGCCTCTCGAGTGCTGGGATTAAAGGTGCTAGCCGCCACCGCCCAGTGCAGTTCCTCCTCCTCAAACAGCATCCACAGCTTGTAAAGTGTTTCCTTGTGCTGTCTCTTTTCACCCCAACCTGAAGTGAGGTAAGGAGACCGAGGCTAAATGAGGCCCCGTCTGGATGCCTCGAGGCTCCCACTCTAACCTATTCTCCTAGAGAGTGAAGGGATGAGCTCTGTCTCTAGCCTTCCCCTCCTCCCCTGCGGTGGGTGTCGCCTCCCTAAGCCCTGGGTCCCCACCGATCACACCCTGCCACCCTGCTGAGCTTTTTGTTCCCAGAGGTTTCCCAGGAAACTAGCTAACGCGACACAGATGGGCTGTATTTTTAGAACGACGTCCCCTCGCCTCCTCCTGCCCTTTCTTCCCTTCCTTTCTGCCGTGTGCACCCTCATCCATGCACCGGAGGAGCTCTGCGAGGCCCCCACCCTGACAGACCTTCCTTAGGACTTCCCTAGCCCCCTGCCTCCCCGACGCCCACCTCAATTCCAGGCGTTGGGCGGTCCCGCCCTCCCCCACCTGCTGTGAAGCCCCCTGGGGGCGTTCTCTCCAGGGACAGTGCTATTAAAAGGGCCGAGGGCGGGCCGCGCAAGGACAGATGGTCTGTGATGAGGGAGTAGGAGGGAAGGGGTGAGAAGAGACAATGAGAGAACCCTGCCTGCCTCTGCCCTGGGGAAATGGGCAGCCTAGCCTGGCCTGGGGCTTCCGGGCAGAGGCTAGAGTGACATTTCCCCTGAGGGCAGCAAAGGCCGTTCTCCTCAGAAAATTACACGTTTTTTCTTTCCCCAAAGCAGCTGGGTGGTGGGGGAGTCGCGTCTTGAGACCTGAGTGAAGCGGGTGGATGGTCGGCAGCCCTGGGGCCTGAAAATGCTCGGCTCTTCTTCCTCCAGACCACCCATTACCTAGAGGCTGGTGGAGCTCCAAATGCAAACATGCCTGGGGTGGACCGCTTACACGGTCCCTTCAGTGCTGGGCAGTGTCCGCCACCAGTCACTGCCCGGCTCGCGTGGGCAGGTCACACGGGACTGCGGATGTGCAGAGAGGGGCTGTGGCCCTCCCGTGCCCATGGTGGAGAACTTAGGGGTGGGGTGGGCTGCAGGGACAACAGCCATGCTGGACGGGGCTGCAGCTCCCTGGTGCAGTGCCCAGCCTGAGGTGATCCCTACTGTGTGTCTCAAGCACCTCACAGAAGAAAGGAAGACTTGTCTCCTGCCCAAGTACTAACCAGGCCCCACCCTGCTTAGCTCCCAAAACCCCATGAGATTAGGGGTGTTAAAGCACCTCAAAATGAGGCAAACGATCCAAACAAACTTACGTAGGGCTGAGCATGGGCATCCACCCTGCCCATTCAGACGCCTGTTTCCCTACTGACTCTGGTTCAGGAAAAGCCAAGGAGGACTGAGTTCCATTTGTGAGCACCTTTACACGTGGCCCCATGATGGGGCTGGGCCAGCAGAAGTCTCAGATTAGGGAGGGCTAAAAACACAGCCATGACCGATAGCCTCCAAAGCAATACAGAGAAACACTGTCTCGTAAAAACAAACAAACAAACAAACAAAAAAAACCAACAACAACAAAAAAAACACAGCCGTTAGGGCCAGCAAGATGGCTCAGCAGGTACAGGCATGGGCACCAAGCCTAAGGACCTGAGTTCAATCCCCAGAGCCCAAGAGGCAGAAGGAGGGAACTACTCTAGGTTGTCCTCTGACCTCCACATGTAGACACGGCAGAGTGTGTGTGTGTGTGTGTGTGTGTGTGTGTGTGTGTGTGTGTATACACTTGAAAGCGTATACACACACACAAAATGTAACCAAACTTTTTTGTTTTTGTTTGCTGTCGGTCCAGCCTGGCTTCGAACTCACAGAGATCCGCCTACCTCTGCCTCCTGAGTGCTGGGATTAAAGGCGTGCGCCACTACCGCCCAGCTGTAATCAAACTTTTAAGAACTATGTGTATTGCCTCAGACTCATGGGGGAAAAGGCAGAACCCTTAGGGTGGTAAGGCTCAGAGGGATGGCAAAGCCACCTTTGGTCCCCGTGTGGACTTTCCAGCGTGTGCAAAAACAACGTCCCGCATGGCTTGCTCTTCTCTCCTCTCCCCAGGG